CGAATTCCACCACACCCAGGCCGACACCGAGTTGGGGGGGCGGGTAGTCTGCACAACAGGGCCTGGGCGGTGCCCACAGCTGAGTCTCCCTCAGCACCAGCATGGTGTGCGGCATGCAGTCTGGGACATCAATAAATGTTTTCTAGATGCCTGTATGGGAGGGAGACCCCAGAGGAGTAGAAGCCCCAGGTCTCACTTTGCCGGTCACATGCATGGCGCCCAGCACGGTGCACAGTCAGGTGGAGCACATTGCTGGCTCTCGAATATTCATATAATTATTTATTTAGAAAATGTTTTCTTTTGGAATACTTACAGGTTCACAGGAAGTTGCAGAGATGTACAGAGAGGTCCTCTGCACCCTTCACCCAGGCCCCCTCAATGGCAAGACCGTTGTACATAAATAGAGGGCAATATCAAAACGAAGAAACTGAGCTTGGTGCAATGCACAGAGCTCATTCAGATTCCATCAGTTTTACGTGCATATGCGTGTTGGTGCGGCTCTATGTAATTTTATCCCACGTGTAGCTGCCTGTAATCACCACCTCAATCAAGATATTTCACTGTCCCACCAGCACAAGCTCCATGTGCTCCCCCTTTATAGCCACATCTACCCCAACCCCTGGCAACTGCTAATCTGTTCTCCATCTCTGTGATTACGTTATTGTGTAAGTGTCCCATAAATGGAGTCACACAGTACATATTCTTTGGGATTGGCTTTTTCCCACGCAGCGTAATTTCCTCAAGGGTCATCCAAGCTGTTGAGTGAATCAATATCTCTGTTCCTTTTTAGTGCTGAGTAGTAACCTATGGTCTGGATGTGCCATAGTTTCCTTGATCATTCTCCCGCTGAAGGGCATCTGGGAGTTTCCAGTTTTTAGTTACCACACACATAGCTGCTGTGGGACATTTGTGTTCACGTTTCTGCATGAAAATATGTTTTCCTTTCTCCAGGATACATGCCCAAGACTGCAACTGCTCGGTTACGTGGTAAGTCCATCCTCTGTTTTCAAAGGAACGGCCAAACTACTCTCCCAGGTGGCCAGCCGTACTATTTTACATACCAGCCAGCGATGTCAGGGTGATTTGGCTTCTCCCCACGATCGCCAGTTTGCTGTTGTCACTATTCTTTATTTTGGCCATTCTGATAGGTGCAGGGTGGTATCTCCTTGTGGTTTTAATTTGCATTGTCTAATTTGCATTTCAAAAAGATACTGAACATCCTTTCATGTGTACATCCTCTTTGCTGAGGTGTCTATTCATGACTTTTCCCATTTTCTAACTGGATAGTTTTTTTTCATGTTGAGAGTTTTTAAAAACAGTTTTATTTAGCCATCATTTACACACCATACAATTCACCAACCTGAAGCGAACAATTCAACAATTTTAGTGTATTCACAGAGTTGTGCAGCCATCACCACAGTCCATTTTAGAACATGTTCATTATCCTCCAAAGAAACCCTGTAGCCATCAGCAGTCACTTGCCAGTCCTCCATCCTCCTAGCTTCTGGAAACCACTCATCTACTTTCTGTCCCTCTGGACTTCCCTATCCTGGACTTTTCATATACATGGAATCATATAACACGTGGTCCTTTGGGTCTGGCTTCTTTCATTTAGCATCATGTTTTCAGTGTTCCCCCATGTCCATGTTGTAGCAGAGTCAGCACTTCACTCCTCTTTATGGCTGAATAATTGTTGTATGGCTAGACCTCATTTTGTTTATCCATTCATCATTGATGGAAATTTGGGTTGCTTCCACTTTTTGGCTACTACAAATAATAAATACTGCTTTAAACATTTGTGTACACATTTTTATGTGGACATATGTTTTCATTTGTCTTAAGCGTTTATCTAGAAGTGAAATTCCTGGATCTAGTGGTAACTCTATACGTTTAAGAAACTGCCAGACTGTTGTTCAAAGCAACCACACCATTTCACATTCCCACTAGCAATGTATGAGGGTTCAAGTTTCTCCACACCTTTGCCAGTACTTTCTCTGTCTTTTTGATTAGAACCATCCTAGTGGGTGCAAACTGGTATGTCACTGAGGTTTTGATTTGCATTTCCCTCAGGATTAGTGATGTCAAGTATATATTCATGCGCTTGTTGGCCATTTGTATACATTCTTTGGAAAAATGTCTATTTGGATCCTTTGCTCATTTTTATTTGGGTTACTTGTTTTTAAGGTTGAGTCTTGGGAGTTCTTTAAAGCTCTACATATAAAGCTTCTTTGTCAGATGCATGAATTGCAAATATTTTCTCCCAGCTGGAACTTGTCCTTTTATCCTCCAACAGGGTCTTTCAAATATTTATTTTAAGAATGAAAAAATAAATGCTGTCCAAGTTTGTCTGCAAAATAGTGAGTACTCGACTGGTGTTACATAAATGACTCAATAGAGATATTTCCAATCTGCTTCAATTAATGGTCAACTCTTCTTTGCGTCTGGTAGTATCTGTTGTTATACTTAAAGTACAGTGGGCCTTGAACCAGTTCCTGTTCTCACTCGACCAAAGTCCCCTCTGCAATCTTATTGACACTATTACGTCCCTGAGCAGACATTTTCTTCTTAGAGAGTTCAAAGGTAAACTCCAGCCTCGCCTGGCTTTAATTACCACACGTTCCTAGTGACTAAGGTGAATTTGACAAGTGAGAACCCGTTTATGT